GGGGAGGGTGGTATTGTTTGTTTTGCCCTTGCTGTGAAATTTTAGATTGGCCTTTCTGTGGTCAACAAAAAATTGAGAATGTGATTTGATACAGATAATTCAGTGCTTGAAGGGGAAATGCCAGAACAGGTATGCAGATGCATTTGACTGTGCATATGGCTCTGTGCCTTAGATACTGAGGAAGAAATTCTATTCATTTTTATAAAGAAGAGGTTTATAGATATGTGAAACAGGAAAATGCTGTTCCCTGACTTGTTATTTCCTCTGTGTATGTTCGTGTGCGTTGGGAGAGAGGAGAATACTTGGTGTACATGTTTGCAACTTGTGTGCCAAGACAGATGTTTTAAATTTCACTGTTTCCTATTATATATGCTGAGTGTCAGTTTTGCTCAATTAAATTATTCTTTAAAATATTTCAGTTAGATATTTATATTCTTGAACTACTGTTTTCAGTCAAGAAAATGTAAATCTGTTGTAGTTCTTCAGGTATTTATGATTCACTTATAAAGAGCATCTGAAAGGATTAGCTGCTGTTTGCTTATTGTATAATTTTTCGAAAATATTGATTTCTGAATTGCAAATGCTGAATGTAAAGTACTGTGAGAAATCCTATTTTAATTGAGTTTCAATCCAAGTGTGACCTTTTAGTGATAGATCTTACTGGACATTTGATTGGAATTAACTTTTTTCCTACTTAAAAACAACCTTTTTTTTTTTTTCCCCCCTCTCCTCAGAATCAACGAATCCCATCTGACATGGTGTTTCTCAGAACATCGGAAAAAACTGGTATGTTTTGTTAATTCACGTTGGTTACGTGATAAATTTGTGGTTGCAGTAAAATTTTAGATTGTGCATTGTGGCCAGTTTAAAGTGCTCAAATAGATTGAGGGTAGGAGATCTACTAATGGGAGAGTGTCCATATGTGAGAAATACAGTATGCTTGGACTGTAAAACAGGAGAAATCCTACTGTGAACGTGAGACCTTTATAGGTATATTCCTCTAAATAAATGATTTTATGAACTGTTATAACAAAATGTTTAGGTAAAGCAAATATTAAGACTACTTTATATTTAAAAGACTACTTGTTTCATATGACTTGACATTATTTTAAATTATTTACAACTAATCATTATCTTGCAACACACATTTAAGTATCATCTGTATTTCATTTATTAAATTGAAAAGAACGGAAAACTGAACCTAATAATTTAATATGTGATCAAAATAACTGAAAAATATCTATTATAATGTAAAAACTTGAAATAACTGATTTTTTTTTTTTTACTTAGAAATAAAACTGCCTTTTTGGTCAGTCAAAAAACCAAAAATATTTCTTTGAGTGTGAGAAAGGAGAAGTACTTTTCTTAGCTCTTTCTCTTCACGTGGTGATAGGAGTACTCACTCTTAATCTTTGAGAAACAAATATCTCCTTTATAGGAACCCTATAAATTATAGCTATTTTGATTAAAGTTTAGAAATTGCTATTGGATGCCACCCATATAACTCAAATGAGTTTCCCTCCTTTATATTACCATTTCTCTTCAGATCCTGAAGAACTGTCTGATATTTGTCAGACAGCACTAAATTTCGCAAAGCTAATATTGGTAAACCCTGTATTAGTAGCACTTGGTATTTCACTGTGGCACTGGAGTTCTATCATATATTTCAGACAAAAGGCTAAATTTGCAGAGATCATTTGTAAGAGAAGACAAATATTTTGGATAGCCTACATAATACTACTAGAGCTATATATTTGCTGAAAGAAGAAGAAATTACTGTATGGTTACTGTGTCTTGCTAATGACTTTGAAATGCTGATTAGATGCACTAGATCATCTATAACTGGTCTGGACTGACAAAATTTCCTAGTAGTCTGTATATAATCTCCACCTTGGTTAACCACCCTCTGGTTCAGAATGCATGGGCTTTTCTTTTCTTTTTATTCCCTCCCACAGTACTGCATTTTATTAAAATGCATAATGTCTGACAACTCAAATCTCTTGGATACAGCATGATTTTAAAGAAACTGATAATGGTTTTTTGACTACTCACAATGTCATCTTTTCCTACTGACTCAAAAACTGTTTCAACTGAAATCACAGCTCCTAGAAAAGTTGAAAGTAGGAGGACTTCTGCACCTGTAGAAGAATTACTTTAGGCTACTTGCATGCAGTGTGTAAGAGGTAGAAGGTCAATGTGTGTTGATCCAAAATTTTTCTAGCCTTCAGTAGCTGTGTTGGATTAGGTGTTACATATTCAGGCATTTGGAAGCAATCATCATCCACTCCAGCAGGGGTATGTATGAGTTATAATTTCTTTTAAGTGATGTTTGCACAGTAGAAATGTGTAGGGAACTCAATATGTAACACTGTGTAGTATTTGCTGTTGTAGGGGCATCAAGAACTGCTCATCTGGTGAGAGCTAGCTTGGTGTCCTTAACTAGGATCTTTACAGCAGTTGACATCAGATGCATTGTCACTGCTGGAATAAGATGACACAGTTGCCTACTTTGCCACAAAACAAGTTCTTAAATTATGCAGTCTGCATATCTGCACTATATCATGTTTTCCTCCCTGTTAATTCTTAAATTCCTGGATTCTGTTTGTGAGGTTATAAGGCATTGTGTAGTCTCTGTTCCCTGTAGTAGTATTAGTTGAAGGATGGTTGTCAATGAACAATACACACCAGAAATGCACCTGTACAGGATACCTCTGTGTCTTGACTAGAATATATATGAATAGTAAATCTTGAAGTACCATAGTTAATGTAAGTTAAACTATCTCTTTGTGAAGATATATATGGAAGGAGGGGAACAGGGTGAAACCCTATGTCAGAAATGGGTGAAGAAAAACATTTTTTGAAAGTAAAGTTCATCAAGTCTATTTCAGTGTTCAGTGTTTATGTCTACTTCATTCAGCTTTCTTAGAATGTCATAATTAAAATTTTCCTGTAAGAAGCTGAATTAATTTGCTTTCTAGGAAATAAAGCAACTTACTTTAAAAGTTTATGTTGTAACAGTAGACTTTCCATAATTGATATTAAAAAAAGGCTTGTGAGCACTTTGAAAGAACTGTGTACCTACTATGTAAATGTTCATTAGAATGTAAAGTGAGTAAAAGAGCAGATTGAGTGAAATCTTCCCAGAATTCTGATATAAATTACTTATATACACTTCTGCTGCACATGTAATGTGATTTTTAACATTGAAAATGCACCTTTTTTTAAGCATGCAACAGGTTAACTAGTTATATTGATATTGCACTTTAAAAATGAAGCAAACACCAAAAAACTAATCCCCTGAACTTCAAGCATATGGCAGTAATTGTTTTTTGACTAAAGACTGAACACTTACATCGGTAATTGTTTCTTCCTGGATATTGCAGTTTTGACTGATTTATGGTTTAATTTATAGTTGACACTTTAAGTACTTTGTAAAACACATTAGTGTTTTTCATGGTTTTATATTCTATATGTAATTTTATTTTATCTTCTATGCAATAAAACAGTTTAACTATAACTTGTAACTATAAATCTATAGAGTTTGAACTAATCTTAAAATCCAACCCACCCTGTAAGCTTCTTTTGGGGCAAAGTACTATTTTCCAAATTCAGTATTTACAATACATATTACTGTAGTATGTAGCACTGCAGTATCCTATATCTTCAGTCAAAAAATAAGCTGTTGCTAATAAATGGGTAGTTTACAAGGTTCAGCCTAAAACAACTTCTTGCTTCCTTTTATGCAAGTGTGGTGCCATGGAAGAAATGACAGTGGCATGTGCTTGTTTTGCTCCCCTTCCACGTCTGACCCATCCCACAAATGTACTTTTAGGAATGTTGACTTTTTTAGTATAGTTTTTACTCTAAATAGCAGAGGCTGAATCAATCTTATTTTGTAAAACAGAATTCTTATTAGATGTCTTCTTACTTTATCAGATACATTGTCTTTATCTAGAATTATACCTTCATTTAGTCTGATATGATGATGATGCTAATTGTGTACACGTATCTAATTTCATATGTTTCGTTTTTTAATCAGACTTTTAGAAAAGCTCGTTTAAAGATTAATGTAGGTGGGTCTTTGTATTCATGTTTGACAGTCTGTGACATTGATATTCCTCTCTTTCATGAATGGAGGCAGCTAGATGGCTGAGTTTAGAGTTAGGATTAATTCCTGGGTGGATGGAGCAGGTAGAAATCACTCCTCCGATATGAATTCTTTGCTGCTGTCAGGCTCCCCATATAACAGGTTTCTACAAGACCTTCACTGACTTCCAAAGTAAAATTAAAAAAATAAAAAATAAAAAAAATCCTGGAATAGTATCTTGGTTTTATATATTTAAAAAGGGAGGAGGGGGGAAGATTAAGGCTGAATCTTGATTTTGTTCATTACATATGGCAGAGATGACAAGCAACTTGAAGATTTGTCCTATTTATCAGCCTTCCACCAGATTAAAAGAAATGTTCATGCTGAGCTGGCTGCAAAAGATGGTTTAAAGGTTATTTTCATTTGGTGTATAAGCAGGCCTCATGCCAAAAACAACTGACTACCTTAGTGGAAAGCTGCTATGCAAATGTAGGCAAGATCTGTGTTATAGCAACAGAAAGCTCCCTAACTGAAATTAAGCTATATCCTAAGTGGCCTTTAACATAGTTTTCAGTTGTGGGTTTTTTTTTTTAATTGCTTGGCATGCTCTCTACATTTGATTTGTCCTACATGCCATATCAATTATAGATCAAAAGCTAGACAGGGCATTCCAGACATCACTGTATAACTTTATAATTGTCCACAGGAACTGCCAACTGAAGCAGGTGTTAATGACTTCAGCATTATAGGAATATTATCAAAGATGCTGTGTTTGTAAAAGACAGAAGAAAAATTTCAAGGATAAACACCTTTCTCCTCTAAGCAACTCTTTCCTTCTCTAATCTAAAATCCTTGTCCTCCACCTTGCTGGTGCCTGGTGGTGTTGGTGCCTTGGTTCAGTGCGTGGCTTCTGATCCAGGCCAGCTATTCCTATGCTAACACACAAAAGTGTTCTGATGGGAACTGGAACTGGTCCTTTATGAAAATCTGGTGCATGTCTTAGTAAGACTTGATATCTCTGAAATATTTGTGCTCTGTTAACTTTCAAATGTGAAATACTGAGGGAAACACAAATTTGATAAGGTGACTACAGTATCAAAATGAATGAATGAAGCTTAAATTTTTCTTTCAACCTTTTAATTATCTACCTCCAGTAACCTCAGATTCTTACTATTCATGGAACGAAAGCTGGCATATGCAGTGGATGGTTCTGAGCTAAGGTCCTAGAACAGATGACTGCTAGAGCTAACGGCTCGGCTTTTCTTTTGTTCATGTAGGTCTTTCATCATCTTGTTTTTCAGAAAAAATCAAGGAATTTCATATCCTTGTGATCTTTGGTCTGCCATATTTGATTGAAATTGGTCACAAGTTGAAAGTTACTGGGAGAAAGATAGTGTGGTGGAATAGTATTGTGCATGGAAATAGGGCTATTTGCATCTTCATACAAAATCTCAAACTCACTGCAATAAAATAAAGGTGATTCAAGTAGTATCTACTTACTCTGGACAGTTAGGAATAAGTGTTCTACAAACACCTTAATTGTCTGGGCCCCAGCCTGTTCTGGAACTTCACATATTTGAAAATCAGACCAGAGGAATACTGTCAATTTGAAATTCAGTTGCACAACTGATGTCACTTTTTATCTCTCTTTATAAAACCAGCTACTGCAGAATAATAAGGCTGAAGGAGTTGTACTTGT